GATTCGCCGCGGCTCTGTTTAGTGCATTCGATGTGCCCAGACCAGCTCAGAGTGTAAGCCTCGGAAGCGGATGCTTGTCGAGGCTTGGTCAAGCTTGTGGAGCGACGGACGATAGCACGGTTACCGTAGGTACATTGACGAGGACAAGCGGTATTTCTCCCGTATGTCTTCGTAAAGCGAATTACGAAAGATTCATGTTGCTATCGCATGGCGGTGACCGTGATAGTGACGGTTTTGGTACCGCGCCGCGTGGGCGCGTCATCAGGCCCAAGTTCAACCCGACAAGGCGGGCCGAAGCTTGTTAAACTTCAGGGTACTGTTGAGGCGGGGAAATGAGAAGTCAGCAACACGAGTTACGGAACTCAAGGTCAAACGTCATGGGCCGAATGCGAAGTCTAAGTGTTGCGCGTTTTTGAGGTTGTTAATATGAGAAGGGCCACGCGGGCGAACCGAACCGTTGCTGACGGTCGCGTGTGCGGTCGTGGCGGTGTTGCCCGGCAAGGCTATGCTATGGCCAGCCCTTCTTGTAGCTATCCCTTCATCGTCGGTACCCAAACGCCAACCCTAGCATGTCGAAGTTGGAACGATGCGCATCGCAATTGATGGCCAACAGAAGGTCTGTAGGCACCGGAACTGGCATGATGTCGTTGCCCAAGACATGTAGTGGCCTTTGACATGCGCACGCACCTCGTGAGGCGTTGGCCTTGAGCAACGCCATGCGCCACCACGCGCCGCCAACAGCCTTTCCCACCTGACTACATGCGTGTCGGATGGCGTGGTTTCTATCTGGCTTGTCTATGCTGACAGCTTGTTCTAATTGTCCACAGGCCGCAGGAAGTTCATATCATCGAGTAGTTCTCTGGCATCCTCTGCCTTGTCTTCTTCCTGCTTGTCTGCGCCCACGCCGATGCTCAGATCCACTAGTCCGTCTGCAGGCGGCGAGAACTGGCGCAGCTTGACGCCGCTCTCAGTAAAGATCTTGGCCGTCTGGTCGTCCACGAGGTAGCCTTGGTTATAGACCACCTCACTGATACCAACCTGTGTAATCTTGACGCTGCAGGTCAAGCAGGGACATGTATTGCAGTATAGGATGGCGTTCTCGCCGATGCGGTCACGGCCGGCTTCGAGCAGGGCGTTTTCTTCGGCGTGCAGGCAGAGGCAGGTGGAGAGACCAACGCCTCCCTGTGCGGCGTTGTTGCAGCGGGGGCCTGTATGTTGTTAGTCTGTGTCGTGGGGATTCCTGAGTGTGAACGTACATCCGCCCTCGTTGCAGTTGGTCATGCCACGTGGGGTACCGTTGTACCCGGTGCTAATGACACGCTTCTCCCGTACTATGCAGCAACCGACTCGTCGCTTCATGCAGTTGCTCCTGCGCGCTGCCAGGTCTGCCAACTGCATGAAGTATTGATCCCAGCTTGGCCGTACGCGGGCCTCGTCCATGAGGTCCAGGAACAAGATGGCACTACGCAGGGAAGCCATGTCGGACGACGAGTTAAGTAGCTTCAGCTGTGCTCTCTGACAGAGGGCGCTTAGGCCTGTTCTGGGAGCAAACAAGTGCTTGTCATTGCGTAGAACGAACTCCTCGAGAGTAGGCGGTGTGTGGTCCGTGGCAGCACATCGGGCCTTGAACCGCTGCCATCGCACACTGACAGGCGCGTCGACGCTGACGAGGAGGAAGAAAGGACGCCTCAGCAGGGCATCAACGACCGTTTCGTCCCATATGTCCGTTGTAACGAATCGTTCTCTCCATCTCAACGTGACGAAGTCGAGTAGCGAATCGATGCTCGGGAAGGTATGCCGTGCGTCTACGGACGACTTGACCGGCGAAGGGACACGTGTGTTGGAAGCTGACTTCTCTTCTGGGGGCGTCTCAGCAGTTCGCGCCAGGCGTAGGCGGATGAACTGGTGCTCCTCGACGAGGTACGAAGCTATCGACGACTTGCCCGCGCATATTCCTGTACCCTGTCAGCCTCGTCTCATATAATCTCGGACGGTGCTTGCCTCCGCACAATCCAATAAGCATAGCGATAGATGTCGTCTAGATGTGCTGTATCCTGGGAACAGCAAGGGCGGACTCGTGGATCGAATCTCGGATTGCTAACAGCGGGTAAGCGCGTGGTCGGCTGCAGGAACGCGTCTAGCGTGGCGGGGCCTCGCTCATCGATCGCTCAGGGCTGGACCCATGACGGCGCGCGGGGTGAAGCGTGCGGCTGCCTCAGCATCACTGGGACATTCACTGTCACATGCAGGCGCCCTTGACAGCTGCACGTGTATTGCTTTTGCTCGTATGACTGGCATCATCATTGCCTGCTAGGACACATCCCCTGCATACTACATCTCCGCCTCGCCACGCATCCTCACTCCGTCTCATCGCAACCCCACCATCTGCTATTACCGCCCACCATGTCCACCCTCAAGTTTGCGCCCTGGCTGAGTGATGTCGACGTTCAGTTCTATGCCGCTCTCGCACACATCAAAATCAACCATGACAAACTCGACGATTCCGCGCGCAAGGTGCTCGGGCTGTACGAAGTCCGTCCTGGAGAGCACTCGTCGCGATCTATGCGAGTACAGATACACCCGAATGCGCTGACGTCGGACGATACCCCTCCAACGTTCTGCCGCGCCGAAGGCATCATCAAGAACTGCAACACCATAGAAGACTACAAGAGTCTCGATCGCGCCGCCATACTCGAACGATGCGCCCAAACAGTACGTCCAGCATCTCTCCCTGCGATCAAAACTGACGCGGCATAGATATGGGATGCTATCCACGACGGCTCGATATACGAATGCCCCTCCCTCCTCTCCTCCTTCACAGCCATCATCTTCGCAAACCTCAAGAAGTACAAGTTCACATACCACTTTGGCTTCCCCGCCATACAGTCAGATCCACCGTGGAAGCAGATTGGGGAGGCAACAAGGCTACACTCTAGGGAGACTACATACTTGGTAGACGCGGTGCAGACGTGGCGATATAGCTCAGACGTCCGCCAAAGAGGCTTCTTCCTAGCCAAGCGCATACAAGGTGGCGGAGATCCAGAAGAGAGGCCAAAAACGCCCGTCTCACCCTTGGAAGAATTTGGATACACATGGTCCATAGGCAGACTGGAGGCCTACGAAAAGGGCTTCTTCGACAAGGTGGATAGCAAAGATCGCTTCATATGTTTCGCCGACCCCTCCACATACGAAACCAACCCAGGCTGGCCCCTTCGCAACTTGCTCGTGCTGATGCGGAATCGGTGGCACCTCAACGACGCTCAAATCATGTGTTATCGCGACACCCACACACGACGTGACCACTCCAACTCGTTGATCCTGCAACTACGGTCAGACCCAATACCCGAGGCAGTGCCCACCTCCGAAACACCAGACACTCGCCCACAGACACCCAAGTTGCCCAAAGTAACGGGCTGGGAACGGACAGAATCAGGCAAGCTGACATCGCGCAACGTGGATCTTTCTGAATACATGGACGAGCGCAAACTGGCAGATCAGGCTGTGGACCTCAACCTCAAGCTGATCAAGTGGCGGATAGCTCCTACCATCGACCTGGACGTCATCAAGAACTGCAAGTGTCTGTTGCTCGGAGCGGGAACATTAGGCACCTACGTCTCAAGAACGCTGATGGGATGGGGTGTAAGAAAGATCACATTCATCGACAACGCCACAGTCAGCTTCTCTAACCCCGTACGGCAGCCTCTCTTCAACTTCAACGACTGTTTACAAGGCGGCGCAAAGAAAGCCGAAAGGGCGGCAGAGGCTCTGCAAGAGATATACCCAGGCGTTGACGCTCAAGGGCACGTCATGGAGGTACCGATGCTGGGTCACCCAATGACCGATAGCGCAAAGACAAAGGCCGAGTTTGAGAAGCTACAGCAGCTGATCAGCGAACACGACGCCATCTTCCTGCTCATGGACACACGAGAGAGTAGATGGCTGCCGACCGTCATGGGCAAAGCCTACGGGAAGATCGTCCTCAACGCCGCACTAGGCTTCGACACCTACGTAGTCATGCGCCACGGCCTGAAGACAACGCAAGAAGGAAGGGGAGAAGTAGAACTAGGATGTTACTTCTGCAACGACGTCGTTGCGCCCGCAGATGTAAGTTCCCTTATCCCATACTTCTAGATTCACACCGCTAACCCCAATAAAACAGTCCCTAAGCAACGCGACCCTCGACCAACAATGCACCGTAACCCGCCCCGGCGTCGCCCCGCTCGCCTCCTCCCTCCTCGTCGAACTCCTCATGTCCATCCTGCAGCACCCCTCCCAAGCCCGCGCAGCACCCCCCTCCATCCAACCCAAAAACAACACTCCCCCCACACCCGCACCTTCACACCCCGCTCTCCCACCACCCTTCCAACACCCCCTCGGTACAATTCCCCATACGATAAGAGGCTACCTATCCACCTTCTCGAACCTGCAAGTCGAAGGCAAACCCTATGACTGCTGCTCTGCGTGTAGCGATAGGGTGCTCGAGGCGTATAATAAGGATCCTTGGGAGTTTGTGGCTAGGGCGCTGAATGAAAGGGGTTGGGTTGAGGAGATGAGTGGGTTGAAGGAGGTGCAGAGGAAGGCTGATGAGGCGGCGGCGGATATGGATTTTGAGGAGGAAGAGGACGAAGGGGGGTTGGATGAGGAGGGGGAGTTGCTGTGATGGGATGGGATGAGAGAGAAGAGGTGGATTCAACATCAGCGTTTTTCCTTTGTAGTAAAATACCCTGTTATTGTGTATTTGTATTTTTCGGAGTATGCTTATAGAGACGTGAACACGTAAAGATGTAACTGCGATTGATGCCAGCAAAACTACAAAATACCGGGCATATACCATACCAAGTAGCCAACCGAACAGCAAAACCGCCCAAAAGCCCCCATATCCCATCAAAGACCATCCAATTACCCAACCCCATGTCATGCATATCCACCCTTACGTGTATCCAAAGAGTCCCGTCGCCATATCCCTGTCGCGATACATATATCTCTACATAACAGTGTGGTCACAAAAACGCAGGCGTATCCTCCCTAACCAACACCAGGCCGCCCCTCAGACTCTGCTTTCCCGCACTTCCACCCGGCGACAAAGCATTCTCACTCTTCCTCTGCCTTAAGAATTTGTCGGCCATTCGCTGACCTGGTGTTACATTGCCATCCCTGCCTCCGTTCCCAGGGCTTTCACCACCAAGCACACTCTCGATTCCTCTCCCAACAGAAACTCTGGTCTCGGGATACGGTTCCTTACTCATGGCCAATGAGCTGGTCGAAGTTTTCAGTGTTAGTGCTGGACGACGGAGCTCTGAGCCAGGAAGTGGAGAGTAGTTGTCCATGTCTATGACAGTCGGGCGACCGGTGTTGTTGGAGCCGCGGAGGTCGAAGGCGCTTCGCGGTCTACGAGCGAGTTTCTCAGGGGACATGGGCCGTAATGTTGCGCGGATACGGGGACGGAGGGGCGTTACTATTTCTGCTGAGCTGGTATTCTTCTTTGCCGATGGTGTTTCAAGGGTATGAACGTTGGTGCTGGGTGAGTTGCGGCGGGGCGTACACAGTAGTTGCTGGGAGTTTGGTCGCGTTGATAGACCTAGCGGGGAGATGGCGGAGCTTTCGTGACTGCGGAGGGACGGAGGAGTGACATTCTCCTTGCGTGCGGGGCTCCTCTTTAGGTTAGTGATAGGTACGCGCTGTGTAGTTTCGTTCGTGGCTGGGGCGTATGTATTGGTGGTAGCTTTGGGATCAGGTGTGGACTTGGGCGAGGATTGGGGTTTGCCTGGCAGATTTGACTCGGTGGCCGATCCAAGGACGTTACTACTGGAGCGTCGACCAGTATCAGGAAACGAGAACCGGTCATTTCTTGAAGGCAATTCTGGCGTTTCAAAAGCCGGACGCGATCTAGATGCGTGGCCTTCGGGTGTTGACAGTAGATGCTGCCTGTTCGAAAGAGACCTTGATTCGGGCTGAGAGTATTTGATGAGCTTCTTAGTATCACCAATCTGTCGAAGTAGGGTCTGATTGCCGTCGCGTGTGCTGGTGTGCGACGAAGAATTCTCCGCATCTAACGTCGCAGCACGTGCATCATCGTCATCGCGACGCTTGAGATCTTCTGCGCGAGTAACAGTCACTCCAGTGTTATCATTTGTATCCTCGGCACGCGGTCGCGGCGTGGAGATATCGAGCGATCCCCTAAGAACCACCGTCGTGTCTTCGTGTTCTGTGTGCGATGTACGGCTCGAATCTGGTCTGACTTTCTTTGATGGAGTGGTATACCGATCATGAATTCTTAAATCTTCTTGACTGGTAAGCTCCATACCAGAGATCTCATGCGACAACCAAGCCCTCCAGTCACGACTAGTCCGAGTAGGTTCGCGACGATGGGGAGAAGGCGTCCCCACAACGTAGCTTCTTATTGACCGACTAGTTGAAACGACTGCTGAGCCGCCATCCTGAGATTGCTCAACCTCACCAGGCCCTCCGAAAGACATTACACTGTCATTAGGAAGGATGCTGACGCCATCTGTGTTTCGTGAATAGATGCTGGGAGACATTGGCGTCATGGCAGTGTGAGAAGCTGGTGATACGGATACTCTAGGCGAAACAGGCAGTCTTCGTGGGAATTGACCAGCCATGCCACGAGCGCCCGGTGCAACTTCTTTGTCATCTTGAACAGCCGGTTTCGTGAAGTCATCAGTCCGGTGAACAAACGATGCGACATCGTAAGTTCTGCCAGTTTCACGCGGGAACTGGACGTGCTCTGCCCCATCCAGAGGAGTCTTCCAACGGTCTTTAGCTCTCTCTACACGCTTCTCGATTTGCGATGGCGTTGGAGTAAACATCTGAACGGCACAATTGCGCTCAGCTCCATCACTATCGGTCTGTGTATCATCAGACTCAGGCGTGCTGCCTGCCGAAGGCATCGTTTCCTCTCTTCGATTTACTCCTTTCGTGCCATCCACACGACTGATAGGGCCTGGATCAGGTGATGAGTGTTGTCCGATGGGTGTGACTGTGCGGATGGTGGATCTGATCGCCCGTCCAAAAGATCTGATCGTGCTGGTCTTGCTCTGAGTGCTTTGGGACGTGGCCGGTCGTCGTGATGGTGGTCGCTGTTCTAGATCGATACTGCTACGAAGGTTTCGACTTCCACTGGAATGCAACTCTCGTGTATGAGAGAACAGCTTGGTAGTACTGGACTCAAAAACATCGCTTTCTGCGCCTGGTGTTCGTTTGGCGGGGCTTGAAGACTTTTGTGATTTTGACGATCCTATCTCTTTCATCAATGCAGAAAAGACGCGTTTGGGATCGACAGGCGTAAGTGACTCTTCAGTGAGGATCTCCATGGGCATGGGATCGCGGAAAGCAGCGAGAGGTGGGAGAGGCAGAGACTTCCTTCGCGAAGCACCCGTAGATGCCGCACGGTCTGCCTCGCTCCCAATGCTATCTTTAGACTCATGGATAACGGTCATTCGCTTCATGGCACGTTGTGTCAGCGTGTCGCTGGTGGTAGTAGTTCCCCAACTTGTAACTCGAGAAGCTGATATGTTCGCAGCATTAGCTTCGCTGTGAAGACTCCGGTTACTCCGTGCACTTCCAGTGCTGTTGCTTCTGGATCCAGATCGTAGAAATGCGGGGTAAGCGCCTTCAAGTGACGGTGTCCGAGCACGAATGCGTTTCAATGTTTCTTCGTTAGGCGGAGGAATACTGAGTCCTTCTTTCGCAGTGGGTGGACTGTAGTGCGCAGTATGGAAGTAGTCACGGCTGGCATCGATCTGCTGAACAGGAAGAATGGTCGACTTGCCCGACGTGCGCCGAAAGACCTTCTTGATCTTGCTTTTGAGGGAGCCAGAAAACGATCTCTTTTCCTTGATTCCCTGGGGTGGCACGAAGTCGCTCAAAGCAAGATCCACCGTCGACTCGTCGGGTGTTTGCTGATAATTCGTAGAGAACGATTGCGCTTCCGACGCGACACGCTTGCCCTTATCATTTCCTTTGTCTTGTCGTTTCTTGAAGGGCGCTAGAAACATCGACGGCTTGTGCTTCACCGCCTTCTGCTGAAAGTCTTGTAGATACTCATCTCGTACTTTGTCAAGCGTAGTGTCAGGTCCGACTGTGACCGGCATACGCGGGCCTGCCAGTGGTGACGGCCGAATCGTTCGAGAGGGTAGAGGTATGGGCGAGGGTTCTGATACCGGGCTGATGCTTGCTACAGGTGGTGTTGTAAGATACTTGGACGGCGGCCGAGCAATCGGTGATCCCGTCTGAACACTGCTTGCGTAGTACATGGAACGCGCCTTCCGTATCTGCTGCGAGGTAATTGAGGATGAAGCACTCTGCCTGAAGGACTTCGGTTGGGAACTAGGTCTAGCATTTTCGCTGAACGTGATCGAAGGCTGCGTCGATAGATATCGCGGTATGGAAAGCGACCCATGAACGCTGGGAGTAGGATAGAAGGGCGGGAATTGCTCTGTGTTCTGTTCCATAGAGTCCGCTGAAGCTTGAGACAGGCGTTGAGCACTTCTCGTCTGCTCGGCCGTCGGACGCTGCAAAGACCGGAAGCTCGAGTCGCGAGGAGGAAAGTGGCTGCCCTGGGAGGTGAGAGACTTGCGGCTGGCGTTGCTCTTCGATCTCGCCAGCTCGACACTGCGTTTTGCATTACGGTCTGCCGCATTTTGAGCCTGCGCACGAGCAAAGGCAGCAGTGGCTGCAGCCAGGGCCTGCTGTTTGATCGCATCTAGATCCAGCGGTTCGGCGATGGAAGTGGGACGTTTGTGGACGGTCGAGGCAGACTTAGACCGGCGGAGTCGGGTACCTGCATCGCTATTCGCACGAGCAAGCATCGGAGTGGCAGGATAAAACTGTGGTTGCTGGAGTAGTGTGGTAAGAGGGTGCGGCCAACTTAGCGAAGCAGTGCTAAAGACGTGTTGACGGCATATAGCAGAAACAGCGGTAATGAAGCACGACCAACGGTATGGTATGAGAGGTGATGCATTCGAACATGTGGGAAGAAAGACACAGCAGCCAAATGTTGTTGCGGCAGTTGCAGTCTTGTAAGTCACTGCTTGTGCTGTGGAAGAAGCGGCGACTTCAGGCCTCGCATGGTAGGAGATACCGCTGTCTCTGGAACGCACCTTCCTGGGGAAGTCTTACTACCTTGATAAGATGACATGCGCCCCAAATGGAAAAGAAAGCCTTCGCGATCGCGCATGAGAAGTCGAATTGTCTAAATGTGGGCCAGGCAGTCTGTCTGTATATCAAGATCATGGCAGGTCTCTATGCCTGGCGAGTTCCTCATGGTCCAGCGCACTCGTGCGTATCTCTTCCTCATCCTCGTCGTGCACCGGCACATAGGACGGCTCTTTATCCCCCACGTCAATATAGTTCGTCACAACAGTCATGAACGCGAATACCACAACGGAGGTCAAGAAAGGTAAACCAAGCCAGGCGCCGCCAAGACCAATACCCACCTGGAACAGCTCGCTCAGCAGTGGGCCCGCGATCATAGCGCCAATACTTTCTGCAATCGCAATGGTGCTCATGAGCTTGCCAATATCAGGACTCGACTGACCGCCCACAACATGAATGGAAACGGATCGCATTGCAGCGGTGTAACCAGTTCCCATGTTGTAAATGAGAAGCCCAATGATCAGAAGTGAAGGATGTGCGGCAATACCCATGACGAAGAAGGCAATGGTAGTAAAAGCTATGGATCCGCGTGCGATCCAGAGATCAGCCCAGTGTGCAGGGAATCGCAGCTTCTTCAAGAGAAAGAAGTTTGCTAGTGGGATCAAGATAGTGACAGCCACCAAGTTGGTGGCTGCGCGGAATGAGAGCAAGTAGGCGGCCTTCTTGATCTCCCAGTTGTAACGCTTCGAAGCATAACGGACCAGGAGCGAGATGCACTGTCTGCCCAGTCTGTTGGCCAAGAACGTAAGGACGACCAGGCTCAAGGTCCAATCGCTCCTCAGGAAGTGCACTGCATCCTGGAAGTTGCGGAGTTGTGCTCGCAGCGAAAAGTGGCTGGTTGTAGGCGTGGGCTGTAGCTCGAAGACCTGGTCTCCGCTGTCCTTGGGTTCAGGCAGATCGCGCAGGTGCAGCGTCTCGGGGATGAACAGAGCCACAACAACCCCCATGAGCTGTATCGCTAGTGACAATAGCAGAGGCAGCCAGTTCCCGCTCTCCATCAGCCTCGCTGCCATTATCGGTGCCAGCATTTCCGCAACAAGGACACAGGCCGTCAGGTATAGGAAGACCGTCGTTCGCTTTTCTGGAGGCACAATGTCGGAGATCATTGTTACACCGATAGCCATGGCTACGATTGGACCGCCGCCGATGATCGTGAAGGCGCTCGAGAACCACGTCAGCTGTAAAGGGAGAGAATTGAAGTAGGCTACCCATACGTTAGCATATATACAAGATTCGTGCAATGCCGTCTTACTTATTATCATCACCCAGACGAAGGCAAGGTCCAACCCGACCAAGCTTGCTGTGACGATCCACTTCCGCCCTACTTTGTCTGCCCAGGTGCCATATGGTACAGCCAAAAGAATGCCCGGTATCGCGCTGAACATGTCCTGCCAGCCAAAAATGGTCGCGAGTCTCTGCTGCACCACATCCACTTTGCACAGCTGCTCTGGTATGCTTCCGTCGCCATCGATCACCGAAGGGTCTTGTTCGCGGTAGTACTTGAGACATAGATTCTCCTCAAATAGACGTGTCAGAGGTGGCTCGGCAAGGTAGGCACCCACATCGACGACTGCGACAATGATAAAGATGAGCACTACGAGGAGTACCCATGGCTTCTTGGTCGGTTTGTGCGGTGGCAGGAAGGCCGGTTCTGTCGGGGTCAAGAGGGCTCCATCTTCTTCTAGGGATTCTCGCGGCGAACCCAATTGTAATGCCATTGCGATAGCTCGTGGACGTACGGCGGGAGGAACGAAGGGGGGCGGGTATGTGGCTGACGCGCATGCCAATGGCGCGACGGTAACAAAGAGAAAGGACGCAAGGAGCAAGCTGCAAAAGTCAGTGATACCTATCGTTAGCTGGATATCATCGTGAGGGTGTTCATGAGTGTGTAGAGCGCGCCCTGGGACATGCGACGGCCCCGGGGCTGTGAAACGGGTCCGCGATTACTCTGGGCATTCCGACGATCCTTCCAACGCCGAGTGTCGTGTCGCGTCACAGACACGGCCGGGTTTATGTCAGCAGCGAAGTTTAGCCGGTCAGATAATGACCCGCCGCCCGTCTTGATTACTCCGCGAACAACACCATACATTAACATTCTGTCCGGCCCCAACTTTATTGCTGAAATAGTTTCGGTGATTAGTAGTTGTTCGTTGGGAGGGACCGACATTTACACTCGCAGAACGCATTTGACTCGAATCGCTCTGCGCACACATCCCTCACTTTACGATATCTCAAAACGACGATTCTCTCAATGCAAGATTTGTCGTCATACCAGACGGAGCTTCGACCGAGACTCGGACATCTGCGGATACCCGGCTTTCTCAGAGCGTTTGCTATAGTCAGTCGCATGCATCATTTTCTGCGGAGCGCTGCCACACCGATTCCATGTCAAACTGGACCTGATGTAGTCCCCTGACTTGACGTGAATGAGGATACAAACGGCAATGAGAGAGTCTTGTCACATGCAAATGGCCCCTGACGTCTTCTTTGATATGATGATAGAGCCTCATGAGCACACTGGACGCAATTGCGAATATAAATCATGTATAGATAGCGCTAAAATGCGCGTTTACCAGCCCACTATCGCTCTCACATTGTCAACTATACTAGACATGGCTCCGTTGGTCATTTATTGATCGCGTCATCAGTCTCCTCTTCGCCTTTGGCTTGACCTTCTCCTTTGCCTCAAGCAAACGCTCTTGTCACACGGGCATCATGGCAGGTGAGCACGACGTAGCCCAGTCTCGCACTGAGGCCATATATAAGAATCCCCTACCACCACTAGACTTGGACTCCTTACCTACACTTCAAGACTTCACTGCCTGCCATACTTCACTACATTATCATCCTTCTTCCCATACCCGAGCCACCACCCAGAAGATATACACGCCCTCACCATGTCTACCTCCAACAACCCCACTACCACTGGCAACCTTCAAGCCCACGGATTGGCTCATGTCCGTGTACCCGATGACGCCAACATCGCCGTCTGGAACATCCTTTGCAATAGTAAAGAAGTCCCCTCTCCTCATTGTATCCACCAACTCTAACCATACCATCTCCTTAGGCCCTTTCACCGTTGACATCGCCGCCGAGTCCAGTACACCAGAAGCCAATCCCGGTCGCCCCCAGTTCCTCAAAGGTATCACTTTCAACGCCGAAAAAGAAGAAGAATGGAACAACACCGTCCTTCCCTACATCCGCCTTCTGACTTTCACCGTCGCCTCTACCACCGACACCTACTTCATCGGCGATATGCTGCAAGTCCTTCCCGACATCGACAAGAACATCCTCAAAGTCGACATGAACGGCTTTCACTGGTTCTCCGGGATTACCGATAACCGAAGTTCGAACCGTATCTCGCTCTCGCTTCAAGTCTGCCTGAGCTACAAGAGATGACTTTCACTCTGCATACGTCGACGGTTACAGATTCGATGTTCGGTGAGAGACAGCTTCAAGAGTTAGAACGGGTGGATCCTGAGAGGGCTAAGAGAAGGGTGACGAGGTCGGTTGCGGATATTGTTCGGAAGTATGGGATGAAATCCATCTTCGACAACAAGTCCCTGAAGCACCTCCGTCTGGTGTATATCAAGAGCGACATGGTGGCCGCCTACACTATCGATGGCAACCCCGAGAACGTCATCGCCGGTATCAAGAATTGGTTGCTACAGGGTTTCAGGAACCAAGGCCAGGAGGTTATGGTAGAGCTTTCACGTGCGTCTTGATTTCTGTGGAGGATCTGGAGTATGATTGTATTTATTATGAAAGTGTGATTAACATCTGATGATACCATGAAGACCTCTTGGCTTCTTCATAAATATAGAGGTGGAAATAAATGATCACAGTCTGCTATGCCCCAACGCCTTTTGGCTCCGATGTGATGACAGGAGGAAATGTTTTGTATACCCGCAGACATATGTGCAAAGAAATGAACTCGTCACCCCATTATCATTATTTATATGTCCAGTTCTGTGCCTATCGCGATACGGTGTTTATCGCGTCATCGTCATCGTCGTCCTCTACGTCTCCTCCTCGTGCGGTGTCCTCGTAGAGGCTCTTGAACCAGCTTCCTTGGCGGTCCAACAGCTTGTGCGGGCAGCCGTACTCGACGAGCTGGCCCTTGTTCATGACGACGACCTTGTCGAAGTCGAGGATGGTGTCGAGTTTGTGCGCGACGGTAATGAGTGTGTGGTGTGGGAAGCGGGAGCGAAGAAGGCGTTGAACATGGGCGTCGCTTGCAGCATCGAGACTAAGCGTCGTTGTTAGTATTAAGAAAGTGCGATGGGATGTGCGATGACTTACTTGCTGGTGGCTTCGTCCATGACGACCACGGTGGACTTGTCCTTCTTGAGCATGGCACGCGCTAAACAGAAGAGCTGGCGCTGTCCGTGCGAGAAGTGGAGGTCTTCGACCTCGACATCTAGCGGATGCGCGTACTTGTCGACATCACCCTTGGACACAATGATGTCCCAGAGCTGGACGTCTTTCAGCGCGGCCATGATGGCCTTGTCATTCGACTCTCTCAAAGGATCGGCGTTGAGGCGGATCGAGCCGGGTAGTAGGTACGCGTCCTGAGGTAGGCCGATGAGGCGGCTGCGGATGGTTTGACGAGGAATGCGGGTAAGAGGGACGGAGTCGATGGTAATGCTGCCAGACGAGAGCTCGACCATGCGGAAGAGTGAGAGGACTAGTGACGACTTTCCACTACCGGTGCGACCAACGATGGCCACCTTCTCACTAGGGTTGATAGAGAGGGAGAAGTTTGAGATGACGGGCTCACCGGGTCGGTGGTATGCTTCGATGCTTCTGAATTCGATCTTGCCCGCGCTTGGCCAGTTGGAAGCGGGAATGTGATCTTCGCTCTCATGGTCTTCCGCGATGGCATCGGTGGTGAAGTTCTTGATCCTAGCCACACTTCCGATGTGTGTTTCTAGCTGAGTCCAGAAGGAGATGAGCAGCTTGATGCTTTGAGAGAATAGTACGACGTTCAGTAGTGCAACACCGACATATCCTGCGCTGAGCTTTCCCTTTAATGTGACGACGAGGACGATGAGAATGGTGGCAACAGCTGCAACAACGAGGTCCAAGACAAGCGTCAGCCATCGTTGTGCCGCGAAGAGAAGGTAGAAGGGACGCTGGCTGCGGTCAAGCAGCGCTTTGGCTTTCTCTTCGACAAAACTCTGCCATCCAAAGGCACGAATAGTCGCCAAGCCTTCCAGTATCTCGTTGAACTGAGTGTAGAGCGGCGACTTCGCTTCTAGATCGAGGAAGCGGAGTTGACGCGACGTGCGCAAGTAGAACTTCTGTACGAAGAAGACTGCGACAATGACGACAGGGAATGAGATGGCTGCGTAGGGAGCCGCGACAGCGATGAGAACCATTTGTCCGATGACCAGAACGAAAGTGGCGAAGGTATTCAGTGCAGCGACTGGCAGCTCCATGTCGATTAACATGAGATCTTGGCTGAAGCGATTGAGCGTCACTCCGGTATCGGTGGTGGAGAAGAAGGACATGGGCGATGCGAGCACTGTATCCAGCAGCTTCTTGTGGAATGTGACACCGGAACGAGGCACCATCGTGATAATGAGCTGCCAGCAACTGACCATGAGGAAGAAGAGAGCAAGCCCACCAAGCATGGCGTAGATGCCCAGCCAGTAACCGAGTCGCTCGTTGGGGTGGTTCTCGTTGTACTCCGCCCACATCTTCACCCAAACTGTTGGGAACGAGATACCGAAGATGAAGATGACAATGGAAATGATGAAGATGATCGTCGGGATCCAGCCCACAGTGCTGATGTAGTAGAGGTAGATGGCTGTGTCTCCAGTGCGGCGGTTCGCTTCCGCTTGGACGTCGTCCTCTGTGAGCTGGGTGTCGGTGACCTGACGCTCAGTGTATCGTGGCGGCTCTTCGTAGATGTGCTTCTCTGGGCGGTAGTCCCAGTCGGCGCGTCCGAGATCAAAGCCTGATACATAGCCTCCTGACTTGCTTAGCTTCTCGAAGGGGCCTTGTTCCGAGATGCTACCATTGCTGTCGAGAGAGACGATATGATCACAGTAGGGTAGACGTTTGGCTGATGAGGATGCAACAAGAACAGTAGTTCTGCATCGCTTCAATAGCCCCTCATAGCCGAAGAGGCTGTGCCAGATGCGGTTCTCGGTCTGGCCATCGAGACCGCTAAGGCAGTCATCGAGGATGATGATGTCTTTCTGGGCGTAGACTGCTCTGGCAAGCGCCTGGAATTGTACAGTGGTTAGTAATGTCCAATCAAGAAAAGAGGGGTGAGTGTTGGCGTGTCTTACAATTCGTTGGCTCTGGCCTCCGCTCAATGCGATACCCTTGCTGCCGATCTCGGTTTGATCACCCTGAGGTAATTGCCGGAGGTCTTCATCTAACGCGCAGCTCCGAACAACCGATGAGTACCACCGATGATCGAATACTGCTGCACCGATAATGCTCTCCTGCACTGTGCCGTTCACATGCCATGGGGTTTGGTCGCACAAGGCGATCCGCAGGGAAGACACCTGCAGGGAGCCACCCATTACAGGCAACTCTCCTAACACTGCTTTGAGCAGGGTTGACTTACCACACCCTACCGGTCCCACGACCATGGTAATCTTCCCGCGTGGGACGATCATGTCGATATCCTGCAAGGTACCAGATGGCTGCTTGACCGGGTCCCATCCGAAGTAGCCATTCTCGATCACGATAGCCTGAGAGCCGAGCGCACTGAACTCCTTCACTTCAACAGAGCCGCGGCTCTTTTGAGAACTCTCGGATCCCTTGATCGACTCACCTGCGAACAGCGACGTTGTGCTGCCACCATAGATGGAAGGGAATCTGCGCTGCTCATTTCTCGGAGCTAGCGTCAAGAACTCCTGGATTCTCTTGAACGACCCCACACCTCCCATGAGCGAAGAAAGTGCCATGATGAGAGATCCTAGAGGCTCAGTGAGGAGTGTGAACAGCGAGAGGGAAGTGAAGACGGTGGCAGTGTCCAGTGTGCTTTGGCCGCCGCTGTTTTGTGCGATGATCGAGAAGACAGCAAACGCCAAGATGGGCGACACGATTGGTGAGATGTAGGCTATCGAAAGTCAGTGAATGAGGGGAGTTTTTGCATGATACAGGACTTACAGAAACCCATAGTCCAGATGAGGAGCTTCCTGAACTTCTTGGAGATATTGAGCTCATCGACTCGAAGCTTCTGAAGATCATCTCGTAACACTTCAGTGAGTCCGCCCATCTTGACACCCTTCATTGAGTTGAGCATAGCATTAGTCGCTGCGATACGCCGTTCTATACCTTCAAGCCAAAGTGCTTGACGTTGCATTACCAAGCTGGTGGCTGCTATCGAGCCGAGCAATGAGAGGACGGCAACGCCGATAGGAATAGCGCATGCTGCGCCGAGCTGTCGCTCCAGAAGATACATCGCAAGGGTGATTTCAAGAGTATTGGACCATATCTCGTGGCCAGTCTCCATGCCAGTAACAATGCGTTCAACATCAGCGCTCATGAGCGTGATAGAAGACGCAGCGTCCACGTCCGTCAATGTGACTTCTGTCGCTTTGTTGTATAGCATCGAGATGAGACCGCCTCGCATTTGGGTGATGAATCGGAAAGTTAGATGCATGTACTGGCCGGTAGAAACCTGCAGGGTTGGTTAGCGCAGCTGTCCACGACATGTTATCCCGGTTATATACTGACTGCGATACCGATGAAGACAATGATGTATGCGCCGATCAGTCCGTAGCCGATGTTTGAAGTTTGCGCCGTGTCTTCTTCTTGGGAGAAGAGGACTGCCCTTTCGATCAAGAAGGGTTGGCAAAAGTTGAAGGCGATCAGGAAAAGTCTGGGTGGCACGACTGCCAATATAGACCATTTCAGGTTCCTCAGTGTCATTCCGAAGAGAGAGTGGGTACCGATGTTTTTGACTATGAGCTCTGGCATTAGTGGGTGTGCGAAGAATGTTCAGACGTGATCATGACCTACCTCTTGCCCATGATGATCCAAGCAAATGATGCAAGTAGTCGGCTTGTAGGTGTTTGTCCAATTGAAAGAGGTCTTCGATGCTCAACGTAGCTGAGAATCCTTTTTTGAACAGCGGGTTCAGCCACCAGAAAGTCGCTCGCTTGTACATGCCACTGGTAGCCTCCGGGGGATTGTTGGCGAAGTCCGGCAGAAGGTGTCGGCGCTTGTCTCTTGCTTCCACTATAGCGAGGAACACCTTCAGCCCCAGGCGGGGACCGAAGACGGTGGCAACATGCTCAAGCTCTGGGGAGAGTCCGTAGCTGCGGGAACGTTCGATATCGAATATGCTGGTGAAGAGGAGGTATACTGTGAGGAGGAATGATGGGCGAATGGTTCGCATATGCTCTACGTAGGAGAGACATCCTAGCAACAATGCGCCGACAAAACTGATGGCAGCGGAAGGGAGTTCAGCACGACTGTTGCGGACTTGTCGGTTCGACCAAACAACGAGAAGGGCGAGTTCGAAGCCAGTGAAGACGGCCCATGCTATCTGTGGTGTAATGGTCAGATACCTGAGTGTTGAGCTCGCGATGAAGTACATACTAGTTTAGTGTATAACAAGGTAGACCTAGAGACCTTGGTCTCCTTCCACCACAATTGGTAGATCCTGAAGGGAGCAATAGCTATCAACAGAGATAGAGGTATGATGGAGAGAAAGATCTCTGAAAAGAGAAGAGTAAAGTCGAACCCGCCACGGCATTCCGCGCCGGCGTAGGGACCAAAGGTGTCGTCCGTCAAGGCGCAATTGCGATCCATACTTGTTGCCATTATGGGCGAGAATCAACTCGTCGACGTTGTTTAGCAATGTAGATGGTGCATCGAGGGAAGCATATAGGGAAGGGACTCTTGATACTATGAGAACCCCGAGAACCCCACAAACGCTTGAGTAGTTCCAGTCCCTATGTTGATCATGTGGACGGGTGGCAGGGTGATTATTTCTTTGCTTCCCTGCGTCAGTGTTTCTGACTACTCGCGGCGACGGCTTGGACGAGGCGGTAGCATGTTTGAAGATCTTTTCAGACCAATGCTCCGCAATGCCACACAGACACACACCTTTTCTCATCCCCAAGAGCTACTAGTAGCGCCATACTTATTAATTATGAGCTGAACACGGCTTTCAATCGCCATTTTGATGGCATGAGATTGAGTTGGCTGGCTGAGATCATCGTCATCTCGCACTAAAGCAGGTAGCGGGAAAGTGATGGTGGAAAATATACCGGTAGTAGGGTGCGTGACTGGCATTTCATAACCTGGTACGGATTTGGTGCATGCAGGTTGCATGCGTCGTGTTGTACACTGTTTGAATGGACAGGGGTATCGCATGGTGTTTGGATTTGGTTTAGCCCTGGGATCCACCCGAATTAGCAGCAACGACGAGCGCCCCTCCCATCATCCTGCGCTTAGAACAGTGTGGACGGCGGCCCGGGAAGAGAATCCTCAACCTTAATTACTCTACCACTGTGTCACCTTGGCACAGCCGTAGCGCCTGTTTTGTGGCTTGTGGCTTGGAGATCGGCGCTGTCATGCCGACGATCGCACCCGAAGGGCCGTAGCAGGCAACGCGGCGACATTGCTGTTGGTTCACCGTGCTCTGAACTAGGGGTGTTGAAAACGTTTGACAGCGGTGTCCTTTCCTATTTTAGCTGTGTTGAGCGCCAAAATAGGACATGCAAAGGTCGAGGGAATAAGGCTTCCGAAAAAGGCGAAGACATCGCTTACGGCCGCTCATCGGCCCTTTAGTCATCGCGAATTGCAAAGTAGCCTGAATTGCTACAGACGGAGGAGCTACTCCTTGACGAGAATGCCACTGATACTCCGGGTGGGAAGACGATGTAACAAATCACTCTCATTGATCCCTGGGTTCTCGTATGCGGGTCATGTACAACACTGGCTGTCCGAGGCGCACCTGCGTACTGGATAAATTCAAGTACGAGAGTCGAATGCAACCCACGTCATCACAGAGAAATTCTCCTGTGCTTGAAGACGCGTTCGTGCAGTCTGATTGATTGAGATCAAAACCTCCGCCACCGAGAGGAGTGTGACAGTGAACACGGACCGGTCTGACCGCGATAATATCTCGCATTACTCCCCAATTAAAGATGGCGCAATCCAACAATTTGGCTGGTGACGCGGCAATTTTTCAGATAGAAACGATGTTGATCACCCTCAAACGCAGACACTCACGTGCTGAGACATGGAATGAGTACGGTACCAACCACCGTTATAGACCTGCCAACCCGCCAAAGTACAGGCCCAAAGTCCCTCACGTAAAGACGTCAAGCTCGCGCGCGAAGCCCGGTAGACTTCAAGCGCGAGCACGAAGACCTGAAATGGGTACAGTAGGACGCGATGAACTCTGTCAGTGATCGACTGTTCGTAGGCGAAGCTTAGTTCCTCGTGGACCGAATAACGGAGTAGCCTCTTTGTCATGACGAGTGATTCGTCAAGGTCGCGGAATTGAATACCGGCGGAGTGCCAAATCGGTCTCCGAGGAAGTGAAGAAAACAGGCTGAAGGAATCAACGTCGACGAGTGAAAGGCAGATGGCTGATCTTGTGTGATGTGAGCGCAAAAACGGCACCAGGTTCATGGCAGTGCCGATGTAGGTCCCCATGCTGTTTGGTAGCTTCCTTGCAGTTCGAGTGATGATCGATGCAACGCCGATCGCATACGCTTTGATCGACCGGTACAGCTTGCGATGGACACTCCAAAGGGCACCGGAAGATTCCACTACTAGCTTAGAGCTGCAAGCGTATCCAAAGGTGAAGTGCATGGCTTGCGCAGCTCGTACGGGTAATATGAGGTTTCTGGGGTACCTGCAGCCATTTTCATCTGTCTTGGACGGCTGTCTACCCCACAATAGCAGCTGAATACGACGAGGCTGAGCTCCCGTCAAGCAAATTGACGACCGCTAGACAGATGAGTTTCGCCGAGGCCTACTGAATAGTGGCGACAGCATGCAGTAGATGCGCATTTCTGAACGTGCTCGTGTTCCGCGGATTACAAAGGCAGTTCGACAGATGGTACGACGTGTGCTGACAGTCCTGAAAAGGCATGATCAGTTGCAGGGAAGCCGCACATGAGGATTGAGCTGCCCTAGGGTGGAAATACCGGCTGCCTGGTAACCAGCGGTAGGAGCCGGGTAATCGTCATCCGACGTCGACTACCTGGATCATGTCTAGCTATCATGAGCGGGATCTTGGAAAGTGCTGTGCGCCTTGGAGATGGATCCGTCCCACCATCACAGTGTGGGTCTCGAGGGCGTGCTTCGCGGGAGCGGCAGGCGAGACTTGTTCGAACGTGATGGCGCCGGGCTCAACAGCCGTTCCGGATATGCACACATGGGAAATGAGAAGGTGGAAGGTGGCGTACAAAGAAAACCACACAGTAGCGCGACTGACAGCGGAGCGTGAGTCGTAGTCGCGGCACGGTGTCATGGAAGCCGCGGAAGCTTCGGGAACTGAGGCTGAAGGTGGCAGACTGTTGAACGTGGCAGCGTGAAGCGAAAACCCCGTTGGGCAGCTGACCGGTGACAGCTGGCGGCAAGCTCGTGGGCGCCGTATGCAGACGCATGCCAATGTATGTAGGGAGGCATGAAGTACGGGCAGCGAAGCTCGCGCCGGCAGCGCTGAGGCGGAGAAGAGCATCCGATCGCGCTTGGAGCTAGGCCGAGACCTTTCGCGGCCTAGTGCGTGACGCGTTACATAAGCGCCCCGCATCTTTGTTTTCGCGCGTCTTACCCCAACCAGCAGGAGCCAACCGGCCACCGACGCGTCAAACCTCATTCTTCACACCTCCCATCTCCGCGTCGGACCGTCTCGTGTTCCCACGCACGCCACAATATGTACCTATTAACCTGTCGCGACCTCCGCAGAGACTTCACAGCATCGCAAAAGCCAAGCACATCACAGCCAGCCTCGCGAAGACGCGACGGTCATGGCCACGGCGGTTGTGGCCCTCGCCCACTAGGAACCGCCCGTTGCTTTTTGGTTTCGCACAATCTGGTATGCACTACTCCTGGTGGAACCCGAAAAGGAACTCGCCAGCGTGTCCACCGCTTCATGCCCAGCTCGTCCGTCCCCTTCGTCTATCCAGCGCAACGCCTCCAATCACAAAC